GCTCACTTCTGAGTTATTACCCGCCTAAACAGACCCGCGTCGGTCAATTTTGCCTGGTGTTATAACAGTTTGCAGTGTTTCCACACTATTGGTAACCGTCGATGTTGTCACTAAAAACGCCGCGGCCACGCAGTTGGCTAACCTGCTAAAAATGTCTCAGAAGTCCAGAATACGTCGGAACAACACAGAAAAGGGTGAACTTAAATGCTTTGTTTAAGACCATAATCGGTGCTTGGTTAAAAATTAGGTTAGGTTTTTGATTTTTTCCTATAAAATTTCACCGATGATAAACAATATAGCTACTGTATTTAGTGAGGTTGAGAAATTGGAATAAAGCGTTTTTAAATTGAATCTGAATAAATGGTTAAACAATGTGATTAACTCAACGAATTACAACCACTCTCAATGTCATCAGATTGCCTTTGTAACAGCATGGGAATCGCCTTCAGAATATTATACAGTTGCAGGTAGTGGCGTGTGCACTATAAATATGTAAACTGATCCCAACTCGAATACAATATTTAATCGTATTTCATGAATTAAATTAGACGTTAGTTGTTCACAACTTTATTTAACACGTAAAAAACACGAACAAATAAATCACGTTACTTGTAAGACATGACTTATCCCCGATACTATACACACAGACGGAAGAGGGAAGAGATATGCAGAGAATTTTCAGTTGTAAAACTAAAGTCTCTTCAGTTGCTCCCCTCCTAATTCTATGTACATAAAACATTGAAGAATAGACGCTCACTGTAAGTTCATGATGCAGGCTTTAGATGCAAATTAACAGGCTTTAGATGTTAAAATACACAGGCAATGAACAATAGATAATAAAACAAAAGTCTAATGACATTATCTTAATTCAACAATAATGCAAACCTGTAAACCTGTAAACTATTTGACATTTCCGTGAGAAATCATATTTTGAAAATCTGTGTCAATTTTAGTTTCCACGAGGTGTTCACTTCTAACACGGTAGACTATCCTTCTCTAAGTAAATACAATTTTACCAACGACTAGGATATTAAATTAAATTCTCCAAACTTTATTAGTAACCCCTTTTTTATTCTGAGAATTTCAAAATTAAAACTTTTCAATAACAATATACCGCCATACTGACTTATCTTGGTGTTCGACCGCGTCTTTGGACTGGCGAAATAAATTTCCTACGTTGCAGAACCCCATCTTCAGGACAAGAAAACAATTCAACTTCGGTTGAGTAATTTGAACATATCTCAAAGAAAATTCGATTGTCTATGTTCGTTAAGGAGACCGTCTACTTGTTTAGTAATGTAGTTTATGGGTTTTTAATCACAAAACTAAGGCAATTAAATTAATTTAACGCTCTAGCAGTGAAAAGAAAAGTTACCTGTACAAAGAGATCTCAAGAATGTACGCAGCAATGCAGCACACCAAAACAACAATATAACACCGTTATCACTTTGGTTCGACTATTTCTATCACGACACGAAGGACGAACTTTTCGTCAACACAAGTTGGAAAACCATTAAAACCCCATCAGATATGGGAGATATTAGGTAAACATGAGGCAAACCGGAGGTCCTGGGTCTTCGTTCTTATCACTTCAGATAATGTTATCAGGATCAATCTCCGACTAACTGATTATAAAGGTGATCAACAAATTATAAGGATCTTGTTTGTTTTTCTAGACAACCAATTTCAGGTGATAACGACACTTCACTTTCGGTTACAAGACAGAAGTAAATAATGCGAAGTTCAACAACATTTCAGGTATAAATACTTTGGAAACTACTAAACGTAAATATGAAGGTACTGTATCGGTAACGCAATAGCGATTTTATCAATATATATCTACGTAAGTGATCATTTACAAGCACCATATTGTATCCTCACAAAACATGTGAATTTCCAAAATTAGATAAGAATTTGAAGTATTGATTTCGGAAAAAAGTGATAAAATAAAAACATTGATGGAAACTATTTTAGCCTAAAAAAATAGCTTTCTTGTTTATGAAGGTCTTGTATTATTAAACTTCCTTCAAAGTTGTAGAGTAATCCTTTTTGTTACCATCACAAATAGATATAGAACACCCTTCTTAGAAATTTGAATAAAATGACCATGACCAAAAAGACAGGTTTTGTATTTATTTTGAAAGTGCTACTGCACATACGGTTGAAAGGAGTTTGGCAATGTATGGAAGTGTGTGGGTGGAATTCTTGCATCAATAATTCTATTTTTCATGATTTGTATGAAGAAAAAATTGAATCATCAAGCTATCTGAAGCTAGCCGGCTTTGAAGTTAGTTATCACATGTTTACACACTTTAAAGTGAATACATGGTCATTGGAGGAACACCCTATTCCATATGTCCTTTTAACTATATATCTAATGTTTCAACATACAAATAAATAATAATCTGACAATACACTGTACAAACCCGCGTAACCTAACTGCAACTGAAATTGAATTGAAAAATCAAAAGGTAACACATAACACGTACAAATCACACATACATTTACGATTTTATACAACAGTTTCAGATAAGAATGCGAACTTGAAGGACACCAAACCAAAGTGTAAGGTTGGCAGAACTGTCGACTAAACAATTACCACCTTCATTCATCAGCTGCAGGCTTTCCCATACACAAACATACGCAATGTTGCCAACACGTCATCGCTCATAGCATCAACACGGTCAACGTCATAGGAGATTCTACCAACACGTCATCGCTCATAGCATCAACACGGTCAACGTCATAGGAGATTCTACCAACACGTGACATCAACAATCGACAGCCGAGAACCTTCCGCGAAAAAAACAATCATGTTAAGGTATTTCTAACGTTAAAAAATCATGGAAAATGTACTAATCAGAATTTGTCATGACTATGTGTGGGTTTTCACGATCAGCTGATTTCTTTGGTCTGGTTAAATTCCAGACGTTACTGTGAAGCAGAATTGAGTCATACTTAGTAAGTGCCGATTCCTCCTAGCTGATTAAATTTGCAGACTGTAAACAATTAGTACAACGTTCTGTGTCTACCCACTAAAACTTGCATTTGATTCACAATAAGCTCGGTTTAAGCAAACTATATCTGTACTAACTATGTTAGAAAATGAAGACACAATTTCACTATTACTACTTTAACTTCTAGAGTTACTTGCTATTTTGTGCTGTTCAGTGCGCTAGACTAATCCCGATTCAGTCGTTTTTATAGGATTCCCAACACTGTTGGAGATAAGATAAAAAAGTTAACCTGTCGTCAAAACATGCAACAGAGTAATTCAATAGATTCAGTGTGCTTTAACAGTTGATTGAAACCTTTGTGATAACGATACACTTTGACACTTGTGTTATCACAGAGATTCTCCGCCCAAATATATCGGATATCGCAGAAATTGATAACCGACATGCCACTGTCAAGCTTCGGCTTCAAATCAGCTGATGCACATTCCATAGGAAAACTCAAAACTCAATAATGGGAAGAGAAGAAAAAGACATTGGGTGACGTTACGCCATGAATTATTGGATAGTATAAAATAATACTTGAGAAATCAGCCAAAGAACAGGCCAAAATTGCCTTCGCGATTATTCATCATGTTGATAGTGGGTTTTAGTTGTTATAGGACAAATAATTGGCGTTGGGAAAAATTAACCAAAAACGTAAACGATATCTAAAATTTTATGTTATGAATATTAATTTTAATGTGATAATAAGAAACATATTAATCGAAGTTGGAAAAAAATCCTAAAATTGGACAGGAAACATGTAGAGTAAAGTAAACATACTAATATTGAACAATATCTATATAAATAAAATTAGAGTTTTGTCTGTACATTGCTTAGAATAATGAACTTTTTGGTTATTTTTACATTTCATAGGTCAGAGAAACCGAATCAAACCTTATCTCAATTTCTGTCTGTCTGTCTGTCTGTCTGTCTGTCTGTCTATCTGTCATTCTCTTGGTAACGCTAAAATACGCACTTTATTACAACTACTCCTCAATAACTATAGCACTGTCCCGCCTGAAACTTATTTTCCAAATACTATACATATATGAGATGGTTTTAGACGTATTTCATCGAATATGAGACAGTTAGATATTTAACAGTAAACCCTTGAAAATCAAGTTTTTGTCGATTTTTGACGTGGAATTTCTGGAAGCCCATGTTAACCTTATGAGAAATGAAATTATTGAATCTTAACAGCTGTTTCAATTAAACAAGTTGGTTCTGTTCTGTGATGTTCAATAGCATTAAAGTTACAAGGATTACCAACAGGGTGCAGCACTAGCACTATTATTTCTTTTACATTTATGACAACAGCTAATTTGCAACCTGGAGGCGAGTGAGCGTAGCGAACGAGCTAACCTGAAGGCAAGTGAGCGTAGCGAACGAGCTAACCTGAAGGAAAGTGAGCGCAGCGAACGAGCTCCAACATACAGGTGAGTGAGCGTAGCGAACGAACTTCAACCAGGACGTGATTGAGCCATGCAAACGAGATCAGATAGTAAAAATAAAAGTAAGCCTACCGTTATAGGATCGACCGGCAGACACAGAGGTAATTTAACCTTTTATTGATTGTCATACCGATCCGGAACAACAAAAAACAACATAAAATGAAGCTATGTATAATAGTTTGGCCAGCATATCTTAAAATATGCAAACCAACTGCTGTTCGTTATATAAGAAGGTTTCAACTGAATATTATAAGATCCCCGTGCGTAGAACGGGTACACAGCTAGTAAGGAATAAAAAAACTCACCTAAATCCGTTTAAGGTCAAATTTTCATTTTTTCAAAGAGAAGTAATTGTATCGATTATGAATAGCAAATGTGGTTTGACAGCATAAATTTAGTGGCTGTAAAACTAAGAATACGGGTCTACAAGTGTATTTCTGGAGTCTCTATAAAAACAAGTTACTCTAAAAACATTCACAATGGTGAAAGAGTCTACCTTTCAAATGATGCAGTATATAAATATTTATATGTTGTTTAAGATTGGACTTACCAAAAGAGATGGTGAATAAGAGTCACTCCTGTAGCAGGGAAGATGACGTGGCTATGCTAGCCTGGAAACATACAGAATTGGTTACAAAGTTGCATTCTTAGCAAAACATAATAACACCACAACAAATAAATGAATTACAAAATTAATTCAGGCAAGTGATTTTAAAGGGGGGGGGCAAAACACCAGACACAAACGTCAACGCAATAGTACAAAATAACAACAACTAGAGAGCCACAAAATGAAAAAAAACGCGTATAATTAAGTTTTAAATGATCTAACAATGTAGTTCTCAACAATTAAACATTTTTGGAATACACTGCTATTAACATAGTCTATTTCATGTATGCTAAACAATCTAACTAGAAAGTATATCAATATTATCACGGAATAAATTGCGGTTGACCTTAAACAGATGCTGTGGGGTAAATAACTATTTGCATGATATTTAAACTTGACCCTGATCCTTATGGGGAGCGGCTCACCTCGTCATAATACTCCGGAAATTTAAAATATATATTTAAATACTCACGTTACAAGAGCTTGATACGATACAGCATGACCACGTTAAATATTGTGTTTTTATGGCAGCGAAGGTGTTTTTTAGTACAATAAGTTCCGGAAAACGGATTCATTTTTACATTAAATTACAAATGTATAGTTTCACGCAGTTAGATATAAATCAGTACAAAATTAGAGGGAAAATCGTTTTAAAAGTGTAAAATTCATTGAGGGCCGTTTTAACACACATAACCCAGAATTTTAAGCCAATCTGGTCAGATGAAAATGTTGTATTGTATAAAATGCGCGTAGTTGCATCCCTGTCTATGGAAAGGTGTACTGGATAGTATAAACAGATGAATAATGCATTTTGCACAAATCTTGGTAAACATTAAAATTACCAGCGTCGATCGGTCACTCGGTAGTAACGATTAATTGTTAAAACATAACATTACAAAAACCTGTATCAATTTATATTGTACAGCAGAATTTTACGAAATACTAGAGTCTTGCTATTGAAATCCACGTTGTATTCCTAATACGGTATGAAAAGTACCAACTAACAAAAGTGTTATATAAGGCGATAAAATATTGGCAAAACACGGGAACTTTGATTTTAGCTTTGGTCCGTTGCAGATTTAACCAATAAATCAGTTACGTCGATTTTTATCGTTTGCTATTTACTGATTCGACGTTTTGTACAGCAAAAAATCCTTATAAATCACCGAATCAACCCCAGAAAATATCATATTTTTAATAAATTCACCCACGTACCTACGCTACGTCAGGCGAGAGGTACGTCAACGGTGGGGAGGGGAGGAGAACGCGTACCAGTTATTTATTGTTCGCCAATGTAAACAATGCATCTGATAAGCAGTATCGTCCCAGCAATACTGATAACACCACGGTATCACTAGTACTGTACTGTCAGCTTTTTTCCGCCAGCGATCTGCTCAAAACGTCAACCATATGTGATTAATACCAAGACATTCCTTGCATGAAGCTTAGTTTTTATATGTCACATATTCGACTAAAATCAGCTGTTTCTTTTGTTAGGAACATCTGTTCTGACAATTGATAGATGGACAAAAAAAATGAACGTGGTTGAATTGGGCATCGAACAGTATTGGTTAGCGTATTTTTATATGGATCAGATAAGTATATACATTTTTATCCATATTAGGTTGAATGAACTACTACTTTTTTCTCAAATCCACCAAATCAAAATTTAAGTTCAACAACCCGTACACAAACACCTGTAAACATTCATCATCGCGCGGCAATTTAAACGCCCAGCCACCTGTAGAGTCTCTAAAGACAGTTGTTGCTTTTAACGTGTTAGTTTCTTAGAAAATTATGAAAATATGACATAAGCCCCTCGACTAAAGGTATTTTAGATTCAATATGGTAACTGATACCTTTGATTTTATCATCCACATGAAAAATCGGTTTTTTTGAGATATAAAACTTTAAGATATGAAAAGGTTTTGATTTGAGTGTACACAATTAGTTAGAACTAAAAATTTAAAAGATGGGTTTGAGGTAATGTCATTAAAATTATAACTACTTTTACAAAAATTTACAATAACTGATAATGTGTAATAGTACAAATTTTAAATTAGTTAGTAAGCAATGAATAAGAAAAACCTATTAACAGTGACTAATTTATTAGGGTAAAATCATTTTAATTTAGCTACTATAGCGCCTAAAATTATTTTCAATTTTAAGGAAACCCCGCTTTTGAATGTCCTCCACACAAAATACTTTTATTTGAATTAAAATTAACCTATAGTGGCATGAAACAGGATTCACTAAACGTTTATCAATTTGAAAACAAATTTAATGTAGTGTAATAATGATTTAGCCTACCAAAATTGTTAAAGTTGTTAGCCACAATAAAATAACAGTTTTAAATTGTAAATAGGTAATTAGAGGTAATTGTCTATTGAACTAGTTTACACTTCAACTTGATACAATTTGAATATATGTTACTTGAACTGTATATTTATATTTTGTTACTAGGCCTATATATTGAAACTATTTAACCACAGAGTAAAATTGTAAAATTTAGAAATAATGTCAGGAAAAAAAATAGTCAAATATTTATTTCAAATATGGGTCTTAAAAAATATTTTGTATTTAATTTTCAAAAATTGCGTATTTTACTAATTTTTTAAATTAAATTACAATCATTCTCACGGAGCATACAACTCTATAAATTTATAAAATCTATAAAAATACTAAATCGTCTTAAAATCTTAAAAATTAACTAAAAAAAATTACAAAAAATTTAAATTCTAAAAATAATTTCACAAAACACTGATAACACTATCTTACTTGACATGCGAACTGGCGGTGAAGTTAAAGTAACAAGGCACCAACTACACTGACATCGACGGCAAACGCTTCACTGAAATGACATAACATAACAATCAGCATTGAGTGCTAGCGGCGCGCCACTAGCGCTAGGTGGCTGCGGCGGCGAACGGCGGAACTACGTCGATTGCTAAGGTAAACAGTACGATGTCAAGGCCCTACGCTACAGCCCAATGTTGTGAATATGGCCCGAAATGTGACAATGTGTTACTTTAAACTTTGAGTCATTCTCATACCGTTTGAGTGTAACCATTGACTTTGGATACTGCGAGAAGACTTTTTATGTTGTTACAAGAATTCTTAAAATCGTTCCAGTGTGTTTCCGGCGACTATATATGTTTGTTTTAAGTGTTTATTTTACATTATTGTATTTACCATTGTGTTACTACACCAAATTAGATGCAAAATTTTAAAAAATAAATTTTTTTATTTAGTTTAAAAAATGGGGTTATAAAATTCTATTTAGGACAACGAATAACATGAACCGAAAGGAAACATACCTAACTGCCTTCAACTGATCGACTAGGATGACAAATCTATGTTGAATATGATTTAAACTTGGAGTCGTGTTTATATAAGTTTTTATTTTTATTTTAAAGCTCCCTAATGCATACGTTTACTTTTTGTGTGTTTTATTTTCAATGAATCCATTTTGTCTAAGAATGCTGAAGTAAATGTCGTATCTTTAAAGTCCATCTTCAATCAGACTTTACCCCTACAAAAGCAATTGGATAAGCCTCTTATTAAGGAATTTTCAATGTACATAACATAATAAACACTCAGATAAAAAAGAAAACGTCACTTCTCAAATGTTGATTAATATTGCCCAAATATTTACAAAAAAAAAGAACTCGGCATTACTTACTAACCGTTTAAAAAACCCCTGTGTAAATTTGCAAACTTATCAATAACAAATAAAAATGTTAGGTATGTAAAAATCTGGATTAAACAATTTATGTTTATGTTACTAAAATTGCCTACAGTAATTCGAATGTTCTCCTTTTTGGGTTTGCCAAACTCGAAAGTTTTTAACGTACTAATACACAGTTTGTCTTGAGGGAATGTTTTGCTGACACTATGCAGATTGGAGCTTTCAGTTTTTGTTGCGTCCAAGAACAATTAAGTAATTAGGTCAATACAGTTCCACAACGCTTTTAGAGTGAATGCTTGCAAACCCATCGAGTGACCTTGCATTACTGAAATTCGCCATGATGCAACAACTAAATTGTTGTCAACTTACGGTCATTTGAAATGCTAATGCAACCACTGGAAAATACTCTCAACTGCCTTTAAACTTATTATTTGGTGTTTACGTTTAACATAAAATGACTGCATTGTTTTTTAAAGCAGTTGCTTTAACCGTGCTTCGCAGCAAGATGTGTACCAATCACCGTACAAACAGTAACACAATAAGTTTTTATCAATAAAACAAAACTTGATTGAACACTTCGCAATCAATCTAAAATCAAAATATCCAGGTCGATTTCAACAGCAGAATATCAATAAATTTGACGAAAATAGAAAAATGTTTGATCTAAGGTTGTGGTTGTTGTAAACGGGTATGTATATAGTTTTTTTTAGCATGGTATTCTTGGTTATAGTGCTCTTTTGATTAAAATTATAGTTCGTGGAACAAGGTTGAAGTCAATGAGTCTAATTTACATGAATTAAATTTACAAAATGTGTTAGGAAATGTAATTTGTGTAATATAAAATATTTATTGGATTTTTATACGTCAATGCTCCTCCAGCCATAACGTACAACCATTGACTTTATATCTCTATAAAGTCAATGGTACAACCATAGTTTAATCTATGGTACAACTAGGCAAGGCATTCAAACCGCCTGGCTACAGCTACGTTTGTCTTATTGCATTGGACTAAACCCGGCGTTTCCCGTATATGGTGCACTGCACATTGAGACAAAAACACAACTGCCACTTGAACCTTCCTTTCCCTATTCGAGTTTTGCTAACCAAAAGCATTTAAAAATTGTCATTACTCTATCTATAACATATGTCTTTAAAACATCGAGTAAAATCAGTTGAGATAAATCAGTTGTGTACTAATTTTACAGCGGTTAGACATAAGATAACAAGACATAGATTAAACCCTTATTGACATATCATTCATTAGACGCCGCTGAAGACAATATTATGGTTATCTTCCAGTGTAGAATGAGGGTTTA